GAGGCTTACAACTGTTCAGTTCAGTATACTAGGATTTAAGTCCAAATGAAAAAGGGGTGGCATTAATAATTTTGCAATTGAAAGGGGAGGTCTGACTTCAGCTCATTTAATTTGTCAGGATTTCTAATTATTTAGTGGCAAGCTCTGCAGAATGGCAGATTAGCTTTTAAATGCATTTAAAAGCATTAAAATGCAGTGGAATGGCAGCATATTTTCTGAGGGGTACAATTTCTGCCAAAAACAGAGAGAAGAAGCCATGTCATTTATACCAGCTGTCATCTTTCTAAAGCTACCAAATTCTCTTTGCAGCTACAAAAGTACAAAAGTATTTTCTTCTATTCCCTTCAGGGATTTGAAATATTAAGAGTCAGTGTAGTTGTCTTTTATTTCCCTTACTCTGTCCTTTCTAGCTTTTGTACTTTCCTTATTACTCTGCATGTCTCCTAACACACTCTTTTCTGTACCATTTTCCCAGCTACTGAATGCAGAATTTTGTAAGAAATCCTTAAAACAATCATCCTGGGTAAGCTGAATTACAGATTTAAGAGCAAACCAAAACCGTATCTCAAGAGTTCTTTATCTCTATGATCTTCAGAAGCATTTCAGGACAGTGTCCAAAATATGTAATGCAATTAAGATACTGTGTTCTGGCATTGGCACAGCTGAGATTAATTCTCTTCAATGCTTTGACTCAGTGATAAATATTTCTAATGGCTGTGTTTATTGCAAACTTGGGCCTCCTTCTATCTGGACATTAATTCCTATCAGACAGTTTAAAGCCTTGGATTAACCTTCAAGCAATCAAAGCATTAACTCTTTTTGATTGTGAAGAGCTAACTTTCCCAGACGTGAGTAAGCATATGGCTCTTGGCTGGTTCTTAGATATATTTTACATTTTACAAGTGCAGAAAGGAAGACAGAAAAGTTTGAGCAAGGTTCACAGTCAGCTAGAAGCTGCAGTGATCTCAACTCCAGGAGAGCCTTGCTCCCCATTCACATACTGCCTTTGGACTGGCTGGACTGGAGCTCTTTGCATGTTCTTGTTTTGATCTGAAGCAAAAAGACATGAGAGACCAATTATGGGGTGCAAGAGCTTGTAGGAAATTGCATGTTTTAATTTACTGCACCAATATTCTGCAATTAAAAATTCGATAGTTTATGTGCCTACATTTTCAAACGTAAATGAAATATATCAGTTGTGCCCAGAACTAGTTGACACAACTGAGATGTACCGTTTATTTTCCTTAAATAAATAAACCAAGCTTATTTTCATATTTTTTCTTTATTTTTTTATATGGTCCCATACCTGTAAAAAAATTACGTGATGAATGGAAATGTCTCCAGGGTGTTCCACTGCAAAGAATGCATCTGCCATTTGGTAATGAAAGAAGAAATAGCTATTTGTTTCTTCACAAGCCAGATGCAAAAAGCATTGGATATTGAAACTGCAAATAGAGTAGGGACAAATAGTAGATTTTTAGGGGTTGTGCTTTTCTCCTTTGAGGGAAGATTTTTTATTAAATTTTGAAATTTAAACTGAACATAAAAATCTTTGAAGTACAGACACCGATACTGAGGCTGTCATTAAATGAATCTCATTAGAGTTAAGGAGAGATTCCCTGCAATGCAAGCCCTTGGAATAACATTTTACCACTTCAGTCTGAAGCATAGACCTGTTTACATAAGTGAGTTGATCAGACAGTTTCTGGCCAGACAAATGTTTAAGATTATTAATGGCGAACACATGTTGTATTTTGTTATCTAAAACAACACCCAAATTCTCAACTGAAATCTAGGTTATGTGATGACACAGAGTGTTGGTTAGGGATATTTCCTGTTTTTGGAGTGTTAACAGTGTTCATTTTTGTTGCCACTTGGAGAATGCAGTTGGGCTTTTTTGTAGAAGAATTTCACTAGGGAAAGGGTGAATTTTCCTTCCTGCTGTAAGGCAAAGAAGTGTAGGCCTGAGAGGTGCTCCAAATATGTATATAGAGATCACAGAATTGTTTTATCAACAAGGACAACAATGAGATTACTAGCAAAAGCAGCTCCTCCCTCAATTCAAGCTATTGTGCAGTGTTAGGATGCCTATTAAGCCTATGGCATAGCAAGAAGTTCAGTATTACCCTGTTTCACCAGAAATCACAGTAATGTGCTGCTGGTTCTGTCAACTTTAGGCAGTTGACTCCATTCTGCTGAATTGGTCAACAGCCTGGAGGCCTCTTTAGAGCTTCCAGTGCTACTGAATAATTAAATAGCGCTGATGCAGAAACAGTCCATGGTGCCCAACAGACCAGGCATGTTTACCTTTGTATTAAAGGGATTAAAGCCATTAAATCAAGGAAGCTAAAGAAAGCAGTAGTGGCAGCTACTTTCTACCTTACAGTTCTCGTGTCCTGTCTGTCAGTAGGAGTCATGAAAATGAAAGAGCAAAAGATAGAAGAGGTTCTGTGTAAGAGCCTGATGGAGAGACGGAGGCTTCAGCCAGCTCTTAAAATGCTGTTTATTGCATAGACAAGGTTACAGCAGTTGAGGGTCATGGGTGAGCCTATAGCTGCTGGCCATAGGCAAGCTGTGTGTCCTGAAGCCTGATTCTAGTTCTGGTTGCAATGCATTATATACTTTTCATTACAGAACATCTTAATATATGACTAATAATCAACATAATTTTATATTTACATATAACCTATCAAAACTGCTAAAATTACCATATTATGTTAGTGACTAGCCAATCATCAGAGTCAGTAGTTACATGTTAAACTTTGGGACTTGTTCTGCAGTGGAAATTTCTGAGATCTTTTCTCTACTTGCAACATTGGCTTTCTTGTTTGCCTGTGAAAATCCTTTTGTTTGGTAAAAACATCTTTTGTTTGAGGTGGATTTATCCTTTGCTCTAAGCCATAAAAGCCCCTTCCAACTAGCTCTTTACCTTCTAGTTACCCAGTAAGATTGGCTCAGCAATTCTTTTCTTCTATATCAAAACTTGCTTTCATTCCTATAGAACCTTCTGTATATCTGCAAAGCTCCTCCATTAAATTCTCATCCTTCCCAACACTTCTGGTGTATGTACCCACTTAACACAGACTGCATCAGACTGTCCTGCCTGGCATAAGAATGATCAAACACTTCATTGTTGCTGGGCCAAAGTCACGTTTTCAATTTGGCACTTAATAAACTCTGCCTGCACTGTTACTGTCCGTGACTGCATTACCTATTTCAGGTTACAGATCTGCCAGCATTGGTGTTGTCTTTCTATTATGTGTTTCTCTTCAGTGAAGACTGAAGTGTCTTGGCCCACACAAGGGATTTCAAACAACCTTTTCATGCATCAGTTGGTGGCCATCTCCCTTTTATAGAGGGAAAACCAAAGTCAAAATATAATCTATGGCCTCCAACTCATGGCTACAAGTGTTTCTAGGAGCAACAGCTGAATATCACCCCCACAGACTACAGCTCTGTGCAAAAGAAGCCAACAGTGGGACTTGGGATGACAAAGGCTAGACCTGCTTTTGTCAGAGCAGGATAGGAAATGTATGGCACAGTGGAAAAAGAACCCAGGGGTTCCAGTTGCTGTATCTGATCTCCAATTTATATTTTCTCCAACAATATGTCAATTCCTTGCCAAATAAGTTCTAAATGATTCATTCTGTTACTGGATAGTCATATTTTGTGGGTAGCCACTAGTCAGTTTGAGTTATTCACTTCTACAAAATACTTCCTCTAGAAGGCACTGTAAACATAATTAATTTTTAAATAGTTTGAGTTGTTTGAAAGCCATGAGTAATGGTTATTAATATTGGCACAGAGCAGGTCACATGTTGATGATTCAAGGGATAGAAAATGGAACATTTTGGACAGAACTGGTGTTTTTATATTCACTTGCCTTATATCCAGACACTCTGGTGGTATAAGTCTTAATTATACCCAAGACAGCAAGCTGGGGAAGTTACAGATACTAATACATGTGGTAAAATAAATCTTTAGATGAAGCAAACCTTGTATATTGAATTAATTTAGTTCCCATTTCTCTTTTACGACATGCAATTTTGTCATGTATCTCTTGTGCAAGACAAAAGAGGAGGAAGGAGTTTGTCTCATTGAAGGCAGTGGGAAGTATGCTTGATATAGCATGCATAAATATGGACATGAAGCTGTGAGGCAGCACTGCTAACAGACCTTACAGATGCAAAGAAGCATGCACCCAGATTCCTGAACAACCTACAGTGATGTTTTCACTTGAAATTTTTTGCACTTAAGCTCATTCTTGTGATAAAAAACGGGCACTCCCCAGCCAGTTAGCTCAACGAGCCAAGAAATCTTGCCACTCGGTGATTGCAGCTTAGTTACCACTAGCACAACTGTACACTGTTCTGCTTCCCTAAAAAAAAAAAAAATTTAAAAAAAATCTCCAAGGCTTGCCACTGTTTGGAAAGAACCTGTAATGTTTTTGCACATGTCTAGACTGGTTTACTGCTTTTCAGTGTGACTTCTTGTCATGGTAGCACAGCCAGTATGTACTTTTCGACTGCTGCTGACCAAGGCAGACTGAGTAGTCTTCAAAAGCAAAGAATTTGCCAGTAACTGAGTCAGTTTAAGCAGCCTGCCAGGAATTTGCAGCATGCCATACACTACATTTTTGAGTCACCATCTGAAAACAGCCTTGATGAATAAGTACTTGACAAGAAAATGAGTCTGAAATTCCCAGCTGGTCTTATGCCAGGATTCTGCCATGCTCCCTTTCTCTCCAAAGTCAAGGCACTTGAAGTGAGTATAAATGGCTTTTCAAAATATCCTGTTCAATAAGGAGCATGACCTGGGGCTGCACAAGAGCTTTGACAATGCCACCTTCTGTGGAGAAACACAGAAGTCTGATGCAACAAGACACACACACACACACACATTGCCGGGGACTGTAACAGAAATGATGAGCTTCTTGGATGTCCAGAGCTGTGAGGGTAATGCCCACCTCTTGCATTGCAGTCTGACCAAGAAGAACGCGCCTGTGGAGAACACGGGCGAATCCTGAGGGAAACAGAAGTTATTGGTGTTTAACTGACCACTAGGTGTCACGATATCTTCATGTTTAAGCAGACTGCTGAGTTTTTCTATGCCTACAGGAAAGAAAAAAGCTCAAGGTGAAGGCAGGCAGCCAGTGTATTAGCCAAATACCTAGGCCAGCTCCAATCTTTTTTTTTTTACTAAAGTCAGGTTGGTAGACAGCACATTCAAAATAAATAAAATTTGAGAAATCACCTCCATCCCTTTTGCAGATTACTTCCATCCCAGACCACAGTGAAACACTAAGAATGTCATGAGTGCAGGTGGCTGTAGAGTTCAGCTTAGTACATCACAGGATTCTTTATTTTTTTTGCATTACCCTGCCAGTAATGAGCCCCAGATGCAGTAGAACTACAGGTATATGAAAGTGAAAAAGGTATTCCCCACACTTAGGACATGATTCTTTCCAGTGTGTCTCAGAATAGCTGATTTTGTTGAAAGTCCATCCCTGCTGTTACTGACAAATGCTGTAATTTTTTGTGGCTTTGTAGACCAACAAATACACAGACACAAATCTATGTACGTATTTTAATATACATTCACAGGAAAAACATGGGTTAGGAAGAGTTAATGCAACTACCCCTCCCATTGCCACATACTTTTCCTATGCTGCCACGCTCTCCAGGGAGGTTTCACCACCTCCTGCTTTGCCGGCTTTTCTAATGAAAAAGCTGGTTTTATGTTCTCCATTGAGTTGAGAATTTCATCTCCTTTCTTGCAAGTAGACAAATTGTCTTCAGGGTAAGGCTGGAACATATTTAAGTGTGTGGACTTGAGGCAAACCAGCAAAGGAGTGAGGAGCTCTCTCTCCCTCTCCACAGTTTCCAAAATCCCCTTCAGGTTGGGATAAAAAACTTAAGAGTTGCGGCCTTGTCAGGAGAAGGACAAACAAATGGTTAATGAGTGCTTTCCCCCTTCTCTCTGCATATTGCATGTCACATTTAATGCACAAGGGTCTGGGGTGGACATGAACCCACCAGCCCAGGAAGTGGCAGGAGACCTGATGATGCTTCTGGGCACTTTTAGGAACTTGGCAACGAGAGGGGACTGAAGCAGCTGCCCAGTATGGGCAGATGTTTTTTCCTCTGACCCCTTGTAGAGTACACATTTACTGGATGATGTACAGCTAGTTCTCTGAGCCAAAGGAAAAATCCAAACAGTGCTGGCTGCAGTCAGATTTTATTTGACCTCTTAAGTAGTTTAACATGGTACTGGCCATCTTTCCCATTTTAGGTCTTTCACGTCCTAAACAGCAGAAGGGATTTAATGATACAGCTTCCCAAGCATCTACCTAATGCCCTGAGCTAGATTTGTCATAATTGTCTCTAAGATAAAAGGTCTTTTTATTCACTTCATGGGACATCCTAGAGAAACACGGGGAAATATAGAAGGGAACCTCACAAGTGACTTTTTCTTTTCTAAGTGCAAAGGGTGTTTTTATTGTAATGTGCTATGAGTTTCCATCTTCCTATTCTTTAAGTTAGGAATTTGAGAATCAGCATTTGCTTGAGAATTTAAGATTCTACAGTTTCCTGCATCCTTCAAAGTAAAGTCACTGGGTGGTCTTGGCACTGAGCTTTTATATGGGGCCAGTAAAGGTGACTTTTATAAGTACAGAAACCAAGAGATCGGATTTACATTAAAAATATTAAATTAATCTACTGCATAAATTAAGATTGATTCATATTCCATATTCTGTGTTGAAGCAACACAGAAAGATTTCACAGAAAGATTTCACAGAAAGATTTCAGAAAGATTTTCAAGCGGGCATTTTGGATATTTGTTTGAAAGGGACACAGTTCTACTTTTTACTTTTCTTTTCAGAATTGTCTCTTAATTTAATATTATTCACATAATATTCCCTCTGCTATTACAGAAATTTATATACAATTTCCTTAATATTTTTCCAGTTTATTTGCCTTGGGCATTTGACAATATCTTCTGTCTAGTCTGCCTCACTTTTTAAAAATTGGAAAGTATTATAGTAAAACCACAGAAAAGCAGGGGAATTCAACAGCAGGTGCTGGGACTAAGGATATTTTCCACTCCTTCTCTAAATTAATGGAGTGTATTTCAAACTGCTGGAGTCTTTAATCAATAGATTTAGTTTATTAATCACCATTCTTAACAGGGTAAATGGAATATCATATATTATTTATTTATTTATTGCATCTGATAGGAAATGGGAATATAATACCTCCATTTATGTTCTGACCTGTGGACACACACATTAGAGAGCTAGGGAATTACAGCTTGGAAATTCTTTTTCAGACCTGAATTTCTCCTGACTCTTAGGTCCATTCCCAGGCTGATAAACTGACTATAGCTTCAGTCAGGGAGGAAGTCTCCCAAGACGATAATATGGTGAAAAACAGAGTGAAATTCATAATAAAAATTAACACCTGGTGCCTTTCCCATGGGATACATCCTGAGGTACTGTCTCATGGATGTATTTCCCAATTGTCCAATGAGCTACTGTCCTGTCCTAGCTCCACATAACATGCTTTAAATACGGGCTGTCTGTACAATAAAGTTGGCCTTTTTTCCCTAAAGAAGTCCATGTGGGTTGCTGTCCTTTCTCTCTCTTTTTAGCGCAGTGACCACACTGACCCCTCATTTTCAGATTCTGAAACAAAGCCCCATGCCTCCTGGATTGAAGAACTTGTCATTTCTACAGCTGTATGTTCCTGATCTTCCAAATCTGTTCTACCTGTGTCTTCTCTTGTGCAGATGGGTGGTTCCTGGTTCAGTTGCATAAAGACAAATTATTCTGCAGCATTTTTGCCATACAGGAAGTAATGCCTGTCTAGTGAGAATATAATGGAAACACCCTCAGGATATCTAGATGCTTTGCTTTAGCCAAAATTATATCTGAACATCAGGAACGAGTAGAAGAAATACATATTTTTCCAAGAATTTCATGTAAACTAGGTTAAGTGTTGAGGACGAAACACTAGAGGTCTCCTAATGCTCCTACAGAAACATTATTAACGCTACAAATTGATTTGATCTCCAATACATAAATCCTACCAATGCCAGTTTGAAAATTCTACTCAAACTGTAGTAGAAGGCTGGAATAGGAATTACCAGAGACATCAGATTAAACTCTTGAACAGCAGATCTAGAAGTGGATGAGTTGTCAAATCAGAAGCTGTTCAGAGCATATGCAGAAACATGGGTTTAATGCTTGGGAAATCCTTTCTTGGCAAAGCTAGAGGATGTGAATGCTTAACAGAGTCAGATTCCACACCTGGACTTGGCATCTAAACTATTTAAATCTCACTTCAGAGCTAAAACGACATTATGCACTTGGTTTGCACTGTTCTCTCTTTTTTTTTTTTAATGTTTTTGGAAAACAGGGAAACTGTTTCGTTGTGCTCCTCTAGATCTACTGCCAGAAACCACCTTAGGAAAGGAAGGAATTGTTACCTGTGAGCAGAGAGCTCACACACCAGTGAAGAATGGGGAGCTGTCCTAGGAACTATGAAGTACTTGTACACTGTGACAAAGGGGACAATGACAAGGACCTCAGACTTATATAGATTTGCTCTTATCTTATTCTCACACAACACAACCTGAACTTGAAGAGTTGAACTTGAAGGGGAGTAGACAAACACCTAGAGGGCAAATAGTAAGATTTCCTTGTAGCCTTAAAAGAGACAAGTGCTGATTCTGAAGGAGAATTTTGACTGCTTAGGAGCAAATTTGCTTAAAAGTAGGGGATACACAAACATAGAAAGATCCTTTTATAGACAGAAGTTCTTGAAAAGTTATACCTTAAAACAACTGACTGCAGGATATGAGAGGCTGTAGAATTCTCATTAGACACAAAGGGATCTGAAACACTGTGAGGTCAAATGACAAAGAGAGAAACATAAGAATATGGCATGGATAAACTGTGAGTTGAACATCAGTCCATGGAGACTTTGAGTAGGCAGCTGGACTGCTCTTCTCTTGCAAACTTTTTCAAGTGCTGAATGGAGATGTGTGCATCTCTTAATGAGATGGCTGCAAACCAGGAAATCATTCTGGCTTGTAGAAATTTAATTAACAATATTCACTTGCTTGTTTTTGGCACTTGAATATTCACTTGGTTTTTGGCAGATGAACCAACATGTAACCCTTGGATATGGTTAATTAAAATGCCTATGAAAAAATGAAAACTAGTCAGGATTGAATTGCTAGAACATTTTAATCTATGACATAGAGAAGTCAGAAAATGTCTTTAGGAAGCAAAAGAATGTTGCTAAGAGCTAAAGCCATCAGAAGGAGTGTCTTTAGGGAGCTAAAATAAACCCAGTGAAGTAGTTCAGTGACCCTAGCAGCAGGCAGTCAGAGTTATGTCTTGGAGGACCCACTTAACCCTGGAACATGTCACTCCATCAGCACAAGCATCTGTTTCAAAAATGCATGTTATCAAAGAAGCCAATGAGATGAACTTGCAACTATTAGCCAAACACATGCTTCATAAAATATGCACTCAAAGCACAGAACTCAAACTGAAAAAAAACCCCCAAGTTCTCACTTTTGCTCTATAATGTTCCTTAAATAGCAGCTGGGAAAATTAGTTGTACGCAAATCTTAATGAATGAAATCCAAACTGCTATCTCCAAGCTTTTGAGTGAATGCCGCTGGTGGGTCATTCACCAATGATACTGTTGAGTTTATTGTCTTTTTTATTTCAGATTTGTGTGCCTAAAGCAGTCATTTATGACAATGGCCTGATTTTCACAGCAAGTGTTCCCATATGCTCCTGCTGGAATTGTAGTTTTCAAAGTCTCTAAAACAAGTCTGCTTTTTTGAGTGGTTAAAGATGACTTTTAGTTGTGTAACTTTCAGGCATCCCATATCAGCGAGTTTAGGCCAAGTGGAGAAAGTTACAGCAGTTCTCAGGCAGTTACTAAGTCCTGCCAAACCCCAGGGGACAGCTTATTCATCAGATTTTATGTACTGAAAATGTGTCTTTGCTATCTGGGAGTCACACAGTCAGTCAGAAATCGTGTCAGGAATGAATACTGCAAGGAGCACCAAAAACAATGTGGGGTTTGTTTGT